GAAGGGGAACAGGCAGAAGTTTACTCTGCATTGGGTCTGCTGTGATCCCAATTTTATTGATTTCTTCTAGGAAGGGCCACTGTGACCTGTGCTGAGATAACCTGCAGATAACCAGGATATTGTAACACAGCAGAGCATTCAGGAATGAGCTGAACACACCTCAGTGTGCTGAGGCTTGGGCCTTTCCTTTATAAAGCAGGASAAATGTGCAGAGCAAAGGAATAAATTTGTTTTTTTCAAGTTACCATGCAGCAAAGTAAATCAGCTGTGATTTATTTTCCCTTTATGATGATACCTTTAACTCCAGTGCTGTAAAAACACCAATGTTTACACTATGTAAGTTTTCCATCTATCACACACGCTCTGCTATTCTTAGCTCAGCTGTAAAATCATAAAGAGCTTCTGKGAATGCCCAGTTCTCAAGCAAGACCAAACAAAAGAGAATTTTATAGAATATCTAAGTACAATCTGCTTTCCAGGCAGAAACCTCATTTGTCAGGCATGATTTCAAAATTCACTACAAAACATTGTGTGTAGTTTTTATTAATCTGTATTTTATAGGTTTTGAATTTAGGCTTCTACTTAACCTGCAGCAAATTCTCTGCCTTCCAATGGAGGCACCTTCTTTGTCACACTGAAGCACACAGGAAACTTCTGATTTTGAGAWAAATTGCTGAAAGGTAACCCTAAAYGAAACATTACTGTTTCCCCCTTTTATAARATACAAAAAATCCCAGGCCCTAACACATCTAAGGGRRAAAAAAATCCCAAAAGTTTTAAAATATTTGGGAACTGCTACTTGTCTTTCATGAAAATTTAAGAGAAATGTTCTTGAGGGAAATAGCTGTTAACGTGGAATATTTGGTATCTAGTCCTATTAAAATGCTTGAAAAAGAGTGTTTACAGGGGCCAAACCCACAGCTGGTCCTTCCAAACCCCATACATATGCAAGGAGTGGGTGGCAGTGGGAGGGAGAATAGCAAGGCCCTTCCTAATTTTAGGTGCCAGCCTCATGCTACAGAGCTGCCATATGTGAAAGGTGAACACAGTGGGAGGGTGGAAGAGGAACTGGATGGGTTTTCTGGGGAGAAACAAGCGTGTCCCAGCTATGGGGTTTTGTGCTGTTGCTGTGTGGTTCCAAATTAGCAGGATGCAGGCATTAATGAGCAGATATGGTGCCTCATTGGGAGGGCAACTCTGCACTGACTCTTTCTCCTGYTTGAAAATCAAACCCAGAAATTCCCAATTCACAAAATCAATTCAATGAACAGATAGTGTTCACACTGCTGGATTTTGGTGCTGGAGCATACAGCAAAAGTGAGATTTTGTTCTAGTGGTGGTTACAACACATGGTGAACTCATTCAACACCTAAACTAACTCTGGGAAAAACCAGCCACATGAAAACTTTAAAAGGAGTTGAAGAACAAGATGGTCTTTCTCCTATTTACAGAACTTTTCCCATCCCAATGCCTCCCAGCTGACTGGGAAGGGCTCTCACACTCATCTGGGTGTAGGTGATACTTTATCAGGGCCCATTAGCTCCCTGTGTTTCTGGGATTTATGGATAAAATGCCTGTTTGGGGCAGGAATTTCTATTAATAAATCAGAAATTTAAAAAATGCCTTAATCAATCATCTAATAAATACAATTAATTAATTAACTTCTTTACCTTATTATGTGGGATCTCTTCAATACACTGGTCCTTCAAGCTCAAGACAGAAAAAGGGGGGAGGACCCACTGGAGGGTGACCAAGATGATGAGAGGGTGGGAGAACTTGGCCAATGAAGAAATGTYRAAGGAATTGGGTTTGTKCAGCCCCTCTCCTCATAGAGATGYTGGGCACAGACAAGAAGCAATGGGCACAGRCKGCTTCAGGGGATTAACAAAATATTCTTCACTGGGAGAACAACTAAATGTTGGAATGGGATACMCAGCCAGCATAAAAATTCTGAAATTCCAAATGGAAATTGGTGAGGAAACAGTGCTGTGCTTCTCTTGGTGGTGTATGAATGACTKGGGGCATYGCTACACAAAAATACAACAGTGCTTGTATTCTCTGCTGTTTTAAAGTACACCAGCTTATCTTAAAACAGCTCTGAGCCCAAATKCCACCTTTGCTGCCTGACAGGGGAAAAGTGACATTTGCAGTGAAGCTGATCCCTATCTACTGGTGAAGCTTCTGTCCTTCTGATAACTGTGAATTTATTTTGTATTAGTAAGACACTTGAACTTGGTTTTTTTTCCCAGTGCACACCGAGCTGTGACTCAGCCAGGCTTCCATTCCAGTTTGCTGTTCTATGGCACAATGGAACAAATTGTGGTACAAATGCCCAGCCCAGGCCCAGATCACTTTTTAGCAGCCTAAAAGGAGCTTCTCACACTCACAGCACTTGGTGACCAATCCTGACAACCTCCTTGACTGAAAATAATTTACTGAGGCTGCAATGATTTGCTGAATAAAAATGGTGATTTCCAAACCTGTGCTAAGGTCAGGATTCATGGACAAGATGAAGCTTTCCCTGGCAGGGATGGGGAGCTGCTCAGCCCCATGTCAATGTTTTATTCATGTCACTTGTTCACAGAAGTGGGTTTCACTTCAGTGTGTAACACAAGCCAGCTGGTTTGCTTCTTTTAAACTCTGATTTCTCATGCACCTCAGATTGCTACACCCCTTCAGAGATATTTATGGAAATTTCACAGCAAGCTGTCTCAAGCTTATGTGCTATTAAGATTCCATTCTGGGGTGTTTACTGCATTAGATTTATAATGTATAGATTTATGGGCTCAGCTACTTGATGGCCCAATAAAGCGTGTTGGAACTGAAGGCAACTGCTAATTAAAATAATATTTGATTATCCTTAGCATATTGAAAAGCTGCTGTGGGTTTAAACAAAGCCATTGCAGCTTCTCTACATCCTCACAGCCTCACTGCAGAGTAAGAAAAATCGCAATTCACTTGTAGGATCAGTTCAATTGGGGTCCCACTTTGGGAATCCTAATATGTTTTCCTATTTGTATCCAAGGAAGTGGGCTAGTGTTGAAACACTCTTAAGCCCCTCGTGGCTTGGGCTGGGCTAAAAATGAATGAAAGGATTCTAAAATAGAATAAAAGGATTGACATTCACAGCCAAAGGGAACAAGAAGGTTACAGCATTAGTACCGGGGCTGTGAAGTATCAACTATTCTGATAATCCCCATTTAAACAATTAAGATTAAATCCTACTGGAAAGGATCAGCTGATAAAATGCCCCTCCAGATTACTTCCTCTGAGAAAAAGGGTATTTTCAGTGTTGGTTTTCACCCTGAAATCTCCACCATTTGATGTCAGAAACAAGGGACTCRTTCTCCAAACAGTTAACTGAGAGCTGATTTCATCCACCCTGCACAGAGTAGTAAGAGGTCTGGATTGCCAGGCATGTAAACAGCCTGCCTTACCCTCTGCAGAGGCATTTGCAAACTGTGATGAAAGCAAACGAAGGAAATGGTTAAAAATAATATTAATTACCGTGACGTGTTATTGAAGGGCTCAGTTAATTCCCTTCTAATGAGCTGCGTGAAGAGCTCCAGCACCACTGAGGGTGGTGACTCCACTCTGTAAAGTTTTTAGCCAGTGGTCATAAAGGGTGATTTCAGGGTGATTTCACACCCTTCTCTGCAATTAAAAGGATAAATTTGCCTTGCCTGCCACGCAGAACTTTTCAGAGCAGGTTACAGAAGGTAACAGCAATGGAAAACCTGGGCACTATCACCAGGAGTCACTGACAACGAGATCTGCAAAAATTCCTAAGAAAGCTTTTCATGGGAACTCCTGAGCCCTGATCTGYAGTTTCAGCAGGTGGGGATAAGATGCAGAACATCTGATGCTTTCTGCAAATTAGGCTTGCACCCCTAGAGTGGCTGAGATTCCAGTGTTGCTAATAAGCATCTGCTTGTCACATCTGCAATGCTTCACATCCCAGAGCTCAGAGAGAAATGTCTGCACACATCCAGCACATCCAGCTTTCTGCTGAGTCACTGAGATGTGTCTCTGGGTGAGAAACACAGGAACAAACCCAAAGAAATGTCAAGAATGTGACATTTCTTCTATTCTGATTCTAAATTTTATTTGCTGGTATTGATAATGCTGTCTTCAAGCTCAGTTTCCAGGTGCACAGGTACAAACCCAGAGAAAAATCCAGCATCCACCTCAACTTCCCAACTGTCCTAGGAAGGCTCCCTGCAAGAACAGACAGAGCCCAAGGGAACAGGGCTCTGTTTTAATGGTTGCTTTTATATTTATTTCCATTGCTATGAAATTGACTTTTAATTCACTTTCATTTCCTAAGCTATTTTCCTACATTTTTTTTTCTTTTTTGTATAAACCTCATGTAGTAACCTACATCTGTCTGAAAATAAAAGGCAGCCTTTGATTAGAGCTGGAATGCAGGATCATATACAGTGTGTTTAGAAACCTCTGCAGAAAAAAACCCATGTCTGCTTTAATATATCTCGCTCGAGGCAGCACGGGGTGAGGCAAGGACAACCGAGCAGTGTGCTTAAAAAAAAGGGAATAAAAAACCCCAATCCTGCTTTTCTTGGCCAGTTAATGCATCAAATTCAGTGTTATTTACGTGACTTTTGGAAGAGTTTGGGATAAAAGTAATTTATTTGCTGGCTTTCCTCTCTTTTGGGTGACTGCAGAAATCCACCTGCAAGACCCTGTGTTTCTGTGCCTGTAAGAATTAACCAACGTGGGGATTTCAGCAGCTAGAATAACTTGCTATTAATTAGATCATGATAGTTATGAATTGAAGATGAATTGTATTTTTCACCATTTTCTTCAATCTTTTATAGGAACAATAAACTACTACACACAGTAATTTTCACTATAYTCTAGAAAAAACAGCATCCAGTACAATGTGCTAAAATTTTTTCCATTAATTCTAGGATTGAAAATGTGTTTAGTTTGATGGGCTTYTACTTCAACTCTGACCCAGAGTTTTCCCCAGAACTACTCACTTGATAAAATATTTGATTCCATCAGCTGTGTAAGCTTCTTCCCATCCATAAGGCAGACCTAGGAGGAGATAAAGAAAATAAATCTCTCGAAGCTCAAGTGACAAAGAGAACACAGTTTGCAGACAGTTTAGGTTAGAATGCTGTAATTTCAAACCATGTCAYCAAAAGATGATAAATTAATTCCTGCTTTTGTAGCAGGTAATAATATAAACAGTACAATTTAACAAATACTCGCTGTGCCACAAAGCTGCTGCTTTGGTGATTTGATGAGACATTTATAACTGGATGATACTTTTGGATAMGTATCATTTGATGACACTTCTCTTACTAGAATGATGAGTAATGCTTTTAGTAGGGTACTAAACTATATTCCTTTAAAAAATAAATTTTCCTAGCCAATCTTTACCTTTTAAATTACTATTTGTGCAAAATGAACTCTTTGTAGGGTCTGAAAAGTGCTGGAGAAAGAAGCATCAGTCACTGTAAAAATGCTCCTGCTTTTGTGATGCTGTACTGTGAAGTAGATAATGGCAAGTGCAAGGTCCTGAAAAACTGCTATTTTTTGAGACAAGAAATATATATAAAATTTAAATATGCAAGAGAAATTGTTTTTGAAGTGTTTTGCCTGGAACTCATCTCGAAATGTTAGTGTCTTAGGAGTTAAACTATTTTTGTTCAAGTCCCAGTGTATCTGAAAGACCAGCTCATTAGAACCATCTGTGAGCCTGCTTTAGATTTAAAACTTTTATTTGGAAAATGTGCTGGACTGCACGCACCATCTGAGCTTTGAAAGCTGCTTCCTCCCAAGGACTGCCCTAACTGCATACTCTTCTTTTTTTAATTTCTTTTAAAATTTCTTTTATAATTTCTTTTTAATTTCTTTTTTTTTAATAGGCTGATTTTCTTCTCTTGCCACACCTTTGTCTCTAGAGTGAAGGTTCTTCTTAAAAATCTGGAGGAGAACTTCAGTTCTCCAATACAAACAGTTTATTCCAGTTACTGGCTCAGGACTGGGCACAGCAGAGCTGGCACAAACCTCCTGAGAAGGAATTATCCCTGTGGGCACCAAGTGAAGAGCAGCAGGTAACCAAAACTCCAAAATTCAGGAAGGGAACTCGAGGACTGGGAACTGGAACAGCTCCATGATCAGTCAGTACAGCGTGAAAATGAAAAAGCCTGTTGCATTGATTTTTTTTTTTTTTTTGCCTTTCACTTTTACCCCCATTAGTCACTTATCTCAGGCTCCTTCCCATTTTCAGTTTAGAACAGATCTATACAATCTGTTCCTCAAAACATGCCACCCACCACCTTTCAAAGAGAATAATCCACAGCCACTTCCCTTTGAACACAAGGGAGCTGCTGCGTAGCACTGCTCTGCCTATGGCTCCATTATGAAGGGAAAAAGAAAAGGATCTTTTGAGTTATAAATATGCTAGACATGCTCGCTGGCCCTTCCTTCCTCTCTCATGCAAGATGGATATCAGCATGGATATTTCCAGTGATTTAAATGGCAATGGGATCCATCCCCTGATTGCTCCCATCTGCCCTGGCCTCTCCTCGCTGCTGCACGAAGCATCCACGTCCAAAATAAATGACATTGGATTTGCTCAATTATGAGTGAAAGCCCAGCATCTGCTCTGTGCTCACATGGATCCCCTGCATCACCTGTTTCATTTATCAGTGATAATTACACTTTTTTTCACTAGTGATTTGATTAAAATGATGGCTTCTTTTCCCCTCCTAAACGAAGAACCGTACGTAGGTAGCAATAACTGATGCTCTGTATTCTTCCCTTACCCACTGAAAGCTTTGCTTTTCAAAAACACTGAATACATTTGTCACCTAGAAATGAAACTCTGGAGATCCCTGCCGAGCTTTATTTGCCTTTTTGACTTTGTGTGCATTAGATTGTATATCCTATCCGTTCTTCACACGCTTCCACGTTCCACCTACAGCTGCAGGTTTTTTTCAATGCTTTTATTTTCCACACTTTGTACTCGCTCTCCACCAGTTTTTCCACTGCTGTTCCCTTTATTACTTTCCTTCCCTTTCAGATTTGTACTTCTATTTCTTGCATTTCCCCTGGTAGCCAGGAGGCTCTCATGTTTTGCATCGTATTTCCCCAGACATCATCTCCACTTCCTCCGAGCTCGCTGTCTCCATGAATCATTCATAAGTTGATCCACTTCCTCCTGCTCTATTTTTTCACACCCTCCAGGGTCAGATTTGTTGTCTGTCCCAGGACTTGCTTTGAAAGGCTGTTAAGCTCTCACCTGGAGTAAATGGGAGGTAAAGGAGCTGAAAAAGTCAGAAAAACAGTCTGAAATATCCAGGATTTAGCCTACATAAACTCCAGCAATCTTAGTTTGCTGCATATTTATAATTTCTCGTGTGAACTGCTACAGTCTTTGATGAATCTTCATAAATAATAAATTTGGCTGCAGTTGTCTGCATAGATATGAGAAGAAATCACAGATTTACAACATTTAAAACCAGCTCGTTTCAGAAAACACAGGGCTTCTTACTACTCAAATATTGRATTGATTATTTACCTTCTGCAAGGTAAAGAAAAGGTAAAACAACAGAAGCAACTGTGCAGGCAACAGGARGAGCAATCTCCAGAGAGAGAGAGCACTTCAGTCAAAATACACAATAACCTGCCAGCACTCTGCTCTGAGTATATGCATTGAATTAGGGTTAATGCCAAGGAAATGCCTGTAATTCCCTGTGAAAAACCCAAACAAGGCACCAGCCCTGCTGTTTGTGTCCCATCAGGGTCCCTGGGGACTGCTCCTCCTTCCCTGAGATGCCTGCTGGGATAACCCAGCTCTGAAATTATATAAAGCTGGCAGGAAATGAAGCCCTGGGGCAGACAGAACCTTCCTGATCGCTGATAAGTGTGGAGCTCATCGATCTTTATCACCTCCTTGGCTTAACAGCACCAAAAACTGCACCAGCACTGACACTGAGAGTTCCAGAAAAAAAAAAAAAAAAAAGAGATGAGCATCAGGATTATAAACTTGTAGGAAGTGACAGACACTGGAAGGTTTTGCCTGCAGCTCCCAAGAGAGAATGTGTGTGCTCTGCCTCAGGAACACTGCACATGGCACCATCCCTCACATCCCTGAAGGAAAAAGGGGGAAATATGGGTAATTAGAGAAAAAGCCTGATTTTCCTTGGCAGTTATCAAACCTAGAAACTGCAGTGATGTAGTTGGGTAATTTTTTTTTCCCCTCAATAAGTTAGTTAACAATTATTAAAGCAAAAGAGAGAGCAGCAGATGAATGCAGCAAAGCAGACACCACAGCAGAACACTCGGCTGCCTCAAAAGTGAAGTTATTTCTTGAACACTGAAATGCTGCAGTCCAAAACCATCCTATCTTGCTTATTTTTTTGACAAAATTACTCAAACGAAATGAGAGATTTAGACACTATGTAAGAATTGTTTTAAAAAATGCACTGTACACTAGGATTCTATCCAGGTTCGGCCTATTTAGATGCTTTAAGATGAATATGGCCTCAAGTGCTTTATTTTGGCCCTGAGGCCAGAGTTCAAAACTCCTTTACACACAGCACCAAACATCTCTGCTGAATTTGGAAGGAGTCCTTGGGGCCAGCTGCCTGCCAGAGGTGCTAATCTCACCCCAAAGACTCTCCTGTGAAGCACAAACCAATTTCCAGCATTGTTCACACCTCTGGTAGCCACCACTGAAAGGATTTCTGGCTGCAATTCCCATCCTGCCAGGGGTGAACAGTCTGGATCTGGAATTAATATCAAGTCTCAAGCTTAAGGGATGTAGTATCTATCTGGAATTCCAAAATCACATTGTACAAGTGTTCTGTTTCACAAGGAACCATTCCTTGACCAACAGCAGAAATAAGGATGTCCTTTTTCCATATTCTGTTACCTAATATGACTTGTCCAGTTGTACATATCTTTTTTTGGGTATGGGCCAGATCATACCCTTTCTTTTATAAATATATTTATATATACATTTATTACATATTTATTATTTATATAACATTTATTACATTTTTATGTATAATATATATATATAATTTATCTGCATTTAATATCAGAGCCTCAAAAATGATGAGGTATTTTAAGAAACAGGAATTTCCCACTAAAAGGGTTTCTGATACAGAAGATCTGCTAAAGGACGTTAAAACCCGTTTCCTCTGTCACTTGAGAAATRTGGTTTTGAATTCTGATTTCTTTTCAACAGCCAATGATTTCAGCTCTTACCAACATTTAAACCTTCCTGATGTGCCCTCAATAATAAGGGAAAGGTTCAGATCCCCAATGCCTTTGGCTCTTCTGAGCTGTTCAGGCAATGCAGARGATGGARKGYTGAAGGTCTGATTTGCTGTTCTAAWTTCCTGGTTTTGGACTCTTGAGTGCTGCTGGAATCYGGGAATATCCCAGAGATGACACCAGAGGTATCCTGGTGTGACACCAGCAGAGGAATTTCTCTGTGAATTGMAGAATTTGACACAGCTAAAGCAAAAAATGTGGAGAAATACCCACCCTTGTCTGTCCTTGTGTTCAGTGGGGGGCAGGTACAAAATGGTCTTTTATTAGYTCAGATTATCAATAATATCAACTGTATTTTGCTGCTTTTTTGTGAATTAAATCATAAACACCCAAGTTCAGAAAAACAGCTTTCAGAAGTGAACATGCACTTCTGGCATTTGCTTCGTGTGTCACTTCAGATCATTTCAAGTGCTCTTCCCAAAACCAAATATGTTTCCTTTCACAAATAATACTCTGCTGAGGGGACATTCCATTCCTTTTTTTCTTTTTTTTTCACATATCAAATTCCATTTTAAAGAAGTTGTTCTTTTCTTTTGTTGTCGGTCACTTAATAAAACAAAGATGGACGCAGCAGTCTTCAAATGGAGACATCTGGGAAATGGTAGCAACTGAAATTTCTGCTAATTTGGAGTATGGCTGGCAGATCAGCCGGCCTCCCTTCAGTCTGTTCCTAGAAACCAGGCTTCAGGAACAATATTTGTCTTACTTTGGACCTTCAGGGCACGGTGAAAGATGAGCTTGTG